CTTCATGTAACGCTTTTAACTATCCAAGGGAGACCGGAGAGGGAAGAAAGCACGGGAAAAAGGGGCGGACATTCACCATCATGCGCTTGTTCTGGGGGTTGTTCTTGTGTTCTTCTTTTTTAACAAACTTCTGTCTATTCCATGTTGTGTGTTCTGAAATACCCGAGCTTTTTAGAAGGCGAGAAAAGAACGTGGTCCTCTTTTTACCTTTTTTTATTAACTGTCACTTTTTTATTTGTTTTCAGGGGAGACGAGGGCCAAACGGGTAGTATTCATTCTTCCCCCTTTCTATAGTTGTATTGAAATGATGTACAAGATTGTCTGGAAACACCGCCCTTCCTTTTCTTCTCGTCCCTGTGTTGCCGTGCGAGGAAGTGGAAGGGTCCGGTCGCGACATGCATGCAACGTGTGTGCTCTCGGTCTATGGTCATAATATCGTAGCCCAGCCGGCTAGGCTGTGCAGGTGCGAATCTGCGTTTCCCCCTTTCATCAGGGAGGCGGGCCGACTCTTTTACGAGGGAGGGCCGATTCATGGATCTTACAAAAAACAGAAATAGGAGAAGGGCCGAACGAACGGTGGCGTCGACGCTTTGACGATACAGGACGCCGCCATCGGTCGCGCCGCGGCGGATTCCCTCGTGGGCAAAAGGGTCGTTTGCTGCCAACGGTGAACTGGCTCCATCACGGGTCCTGCCGAGGCTTTTCGTTTCTATCGCTCGGTGCGCGCGGACGACGTGGCTGACCGTGACGGGGCTAGTCGCTCAGACGTTTTTTGTTTTGTTGGTTCAGGGGGTTGAGTGACGGTTCATCCGGCGATGAGGATCCCCACGAGACCGGCCACCGCCGCGGCACCGAGCCCGAAGTTCCTCGGCGCAGCGGCAGCGGCAGCGTTGACGGCGGCGTTGGCGGGCGCGACCATGATGGGCCGGTGCCAGCCGCAGTGGCTCGACGTGCCGCGCGTCGCGCAGGACCAGTAGGTGGTCTGGTAGTAGCCCATCTCGGCGAGGTTCGGCTCCGGGCGCGGGGTGACGCCGGGGGCTGGGGGGATGAGGGAGGCGTAGTCGCGGGGGCCGTCGGAGGTGGGCGTCTCTGCGGCGGCGGCGGCGATTGCGACGCCCGCGACTGCGGCTGGGGCCTCGGATGCGGAGGAGGGGGAGGGTTTCTTGTGCAGGCGCGCGGGGCCAAGGCGGAGGGGGCGGCGGGAGCAGGGGGCGGTTGTGTTTGAGGCCGAGGAGGAGGAGTTGGAGGGGACGGGGAGGAGGGTGTAGATTGGCGACGGGGTCGGGTCTGTGGCCTCGTCTGAGGGGGCCGAGGGAGCGTCGGTGGGACGGAAGGGACGCGGCGGGGGGCGGGTGAGGGAGGCGTCTGTGGGGAGGGACATTGTGCAGGGCGTTGGCGATGCGGGCGTCGCGGGGAGGGCGCCGGTCGAGGTCGCGAAGAGGATCAGGAGGAAAGAGAGGGGATGCATCTTGGGCGAGACTTTTGTTCTGGTCGATTTGGTTTGTGTGGTTGGGATGTTGAAGGTTAAGTGTGTGATGGAAGTGAGTCCGGCTCGGCTTATAAGAAGTGAAGATATCTCGCAGAGACAAAAGATGAAGATGTGGAAGAGAATCGAAGTTCGCGAACAATTGAGGCACGACGACAAGGAACAAGAGAAAGATTGGGAAAGGACAAGGGGAGCATTGTGTCCCTTTATCATCTGGACTCACATTGTCACTAATCAATAGAAACAGCACACATAGGGGGTTCAGAGAAAGCGTGACGTGCAAACCGATCAACCGCCTTGTAAGCATGCAGGAGTCAGTCACATCCTCCCCCATCATCGTCGCGTTCCAGGACGCGGGCGTGACATACACAATGTTTGTCCAAATGTTTCTGTTTCCAAATTTTCTCCTGCTTGGTCTCTTTTCAATTGTTTGGTGACTGCAAGGGTGGCAGTTCCGTTGCAGCATCCAACGTGGGCAAATGTCTGAGGTTCTGGGAGGCACTTTTTGGGTGATTGGTGTTGTTTGGAGAGGTGGACGTTTGGAGACGTTGTGAGGGGGCCGGGATGATTGGGTGTCAGCTTGCGGTGGGCGTTCATGGTGGAGGGGCGGATTCTGTTAGTGCTGCTACTCTATTGAAAAAAAAAACCCACGGGATTTTCAGAATTTTGGAGAAGACTTCGGGTTTGGAGACGCACACGGGGAAGCTAATGCAGTGAGATTGAGCTTGTGCCTGATTATTATCCGGAGTGCCGCAGGTTGGCTAATACCCGGACTGTGCCACCAACCTACCGCCGCCGATCCGGCCCCACCACCGAAAGACTGCTGGCCTCCGATCCGTGCTCGAATCCGGAGACACCCCGGCGGCCTCATCCTATTGCCCCGCGAGCACCCGAAACACGGGGTACTCATCGCCCTCCTCCAGGTTGATCACATTATACCGCGCCAAGCTCGCGTTGTTCTCCGGCTCCAGCAGCACAAACGCAAACGCGGCGTTCTTCTGCCGCGTGCTTACGCGGAACCCGCCCTTCGGCACCCTCACCGTCTTGCGGCTGGTTGATGTGGTGATGGCACTCTCGACGACGCCCTCGTTCTTGGAACTCGCGAGGGTGACGCTCTCCGCGGTGAGGACCTCCGCCTCCCCGATAAAGTCCTCCTCCAGCACCGCCACCTCGACGCCCAGGGTGCGCAGCTTATCCGCGACGGCGGCCCACGCGCGGGGGAAGACGTACGCTGCGGGACGGGCGCGGACGAGGTCTGGCGCGGTGGGCGTGCTGTTGCGGAATTGCACGGGGACGTGGACGAGGGTGCCGTTGCGGGCGTCGATGAAGGGCCATGTTGTGTTTGTCGTCCGCGCGTGGTCGGTGACGATGATGTCCTCTGTCCCGGCGGTGAACTCTTGCCGTGCGTTTTCGATAGTGGTGTAGACTTCTTCGGCGTTGTCGACGGCGGTTTGGAGAAGGGTCTCAACTGCAAGCAGACCGGCGGCAACGCGGCGCTGGAAGTGCTGGTCCGCAAGCCTGATGCCTCGTGTCTCCGTGAGGAAGGACACCGCCTGCAGGAGACCGGCGGAGTTATGCCCCGCGCGGGAGACGGAGCTCGGCTCCGTGAGGACGGGAAGGTCGGTGCCGCCGCCGGCTGTGAAGTACGCGCTAGTCCGCAGGCCATGGCTCCGCACCTTGCCCTGGATCGCACGCAGGAAGAGATCCTCCCCGAGAGCGCGGATGGCCGGGTGGATGTTGGGGTTCTTGACGTGCGAGACCTGGATGTCCTGCGCCTTGAGCCACTGGCCCTGCGCGCCGAGCCGCTGACTTGCGGTGTACTCGTGCGCGTCGAGGAAGATATGCGGGTCGAACGCCGACAAAAGAGTCTTGACGTCGCGGGTCTGCTGGCGCTGGAGGAGGGCGTGGTCGCGGTTCGGGTCGTGGTTTGAGGCGAGCTCGCGCTGGAAGTAGGCTACGCCGTCGGCGTTGTACCGCGGCAGGACGAGGATGTCGGCTTTTTCGAGGACGGAGGCTGTCCATGTCTCGTTGGAGGCGAGCTTGGCTAGAAGGGCGAGGATGGCTTGGTCGCCTGCCGGTTCGTTGCCGTGGACGCCTCCCTGCAGCCAGATGCGGAGCTTGGGTGTCGAGGAGCCAGACGAGAGGTTGAGGTAAGGAATTGAGCGGTCATCTTCGGAGGTGAAGGGGGTGTGGTAGGTTGCCCATGGATGTTGGTCTGCGATACCTTTCAGGAAGGATTCTGAATGATGTGTTAGCACATGCCTTTGCTCCTAAGTTTCAATATGACCAACTCAGCGTGTCTTGCGATGTAGGACCAGACGTTCCGTTGGCCCATCCGTCCGGTACAGTCTCATCATTCGCGAACGCAGGCGAGAGCAGCTCGACGCCTTCTACATCGGGGAAGAGCTTGGAGACGAGTTCGCTGTCTTTGGAAACTGGAACTTGGTTGTCCGCGTACTTCGTCTGCGCCGATATCAGGTCTGCTTGGAGCAATCCGACGGCCACGCTTCTAAGGAAGTGCATCTTGTGGATAGAGGACGAAGCCCGATGATGGCTTGGATTCGTCTCGTCGTGGTCACAGGCGCAATCTCACTCAACCACCATCTACCCTGGGCGGAGCACATTCATATACGCTGAATCCTCGCGGGGCCCGACATTGGGGAGTCACGGTATTCTCAACTCGGTATTCGAAAGTATGGGGTCTTTCAGACTCACCAGACAGAAAGTGAGCATTCTATTGTCGAGAATGATGATGGTGCAAGGCTTCCCCGCCATAGCGTCAATCATCGCGCCGTGGCACGCATGGCATTGTAACCTCTTGGCAGACAGCTGTTTACCAGACAAGGAAGGTGAAGATGTTCTCCCCGCCGGTTTGAATCGGGGAGAGTGCGATATTGAGCGAAGCAGGCTCACCATGGCGGAGAGAATATTGTCTACCACCAAGGCTTTTGCTGGTGGAAAGCGCGCCCAAGTGGGCACTTGGCGATATGGCGGAATATGATGCGATCCCACCGCTCACTTCCCCGTCGTTCTTCACATAATCGCACCAGCTTCCATTTGCCGCATTCGGAAAATTAACAATCTCTGTGTGTTTTGACGAGCGAGGTCGATGTAAAGCTTCTCTTGAGAGTGCCTGGTAAAGACTACTAACACACCATGTTCTCGCTCGAAGGCTCACACAGTTAGCTCAACATTCTTCTGTTATGTATTGTCGGGCAACCTGCCACTGGGCGCTCTCAACGCACCTTCAAAGCAGCTTTCTCAGTGTCAATTTCAAAGATCAGCTGAGAGCGATCAACGACATAGCGGAGAGGGAGTTTCACTGATTACATTTGCGACTACTGACCCACAAAGTACCCCTTCAATACAACGGAAATGCTGACAATGAAAATGTGATCATTTGACGCCTCTGGCCTCACCGGAAACAATTTGGCGCCATGTCTGAACATTAGGAAAACTTCTTCAACCCCGCTGACTGACCTACATACGCATATCAAAGACATGGTCCATCAAGTCATCGTCGACTCGTCGGCCTCATAGACTCCGACCCCAGCTCAGCAGGATGTCCCTCTCCGGGCATCTCGATCGGAGGATAATAACTCGGAGCCTCCACCACTGTCGGGTACCCCCCTTCCTGGCTCACAGCAACGTAATTCTGCGTCACGTCCGCCGCATCTCCACGGGCTCTCGTGTTCCTCTTCCTCCTCTTGTACCAGATGAACCAAGCCGCGAGGGCAAGCACCACCGCTCCGAAACCTCCACCAACCGCGCCGCCAATGACACCAGCTGATTTATTCGAGTGTGCTGAGCCGCCGACGCCAGCTGAGGCCGTAGGCATTACAGAAGATGTCGTAACAACCTGCCCATCCTCAATCCTGACACCCTTGCCTTCTCTACAGCAGTCCTTGGCATTCTGGTCATTGCCGCAACAGTAACTCTCATCGGCGCATTCAGTCACTGTCATATCCGTACCCGTCGCGCCAATGCCGTCGCTTTCTGCAAGACAAGTCGTTAGCACGTCCAACCCAATCGGCACATAATTAAACCCATGACAAGCGCCGACGCTGGGTAACAAAAATTGGAAACGGAGAAAGCTCACGATAATCATCTGAGATACACAGCTGCAGACACTTGGGCGACTCCCACGTTGGGTCCGTACAACTCTCTCGCCAGAACTTGATGTCCACAGTGTTCCAACAAAGGCCGTTAGCCTTGCATATGTCCCCTTTTTTGATGTTGCAGCACATGGCGTGACCACTGCTCGCGCAAGGTTCATAAGTGTCGAAATGGGAATCGTTTATGTCATTTCTATTGGTGCCATTGGGAACGAAACACGTTCCATGGACGGCGGTGATGCCTGCCGCCACGGCAGCTAGAGAGATGAACGGAGCACGACGCATCGTCGGTTGTCGACCTGACGAGTCACTCCGTAGAATGAGGTGTGAAATTCAGGGAAGGTTCGGAGGAAAAGTCAGGCTATGGTAGAAGTTCTGAGTGAGACAGCAGTTACACCTTTAGACGCCGTGGCGGCATCTAGCTGAACCACGCGGTGCGGCTGTGGAGAGAATACCTGCACTTTCATGCACCTAAGGATTGTACCCTATCAGACAGAAGAGTTGCAAACACCCCAAATTAGCGTCAGTCAGAATCTCGCCCCGTTGCGCGGGCTGAGATGTGTCGTTCGCGGTCATCATTGGCATGTTTGGATAGAACGTCGGCGAATAAGCCTTGGCGCAGTCAGCTTCAGCGTCAAGTAGGTCTGTCAAGAGCCTGTGATCCAGCCCAAAGGTTTACATAGGGTTTCCGTCAGGCTGTCGTTGAAAGAATCACATTCGCTGCCCGTAAAAATAGTTCTTACACAATCGGGTACGCTACCCACGCAGTTACAAACGTGGTCATGCCTGCGAATGGGAACCTGCAACGTGAAGTACTGTCTTAAGCATACCTACGGCCCGCCGTTGCCCATGTAAAGCATCGCGCTGGATACCGGCAGTGTAGCAACTCCATTGAAAGCCCACCGTCTAAGCTGACCCGGCAGTCTTTTTGAACATAAATTAGCACCTGAAAGATCAAAATCATTATGATTCCGGCGCCACTGACTGAGACATCCCGAGGATCGGCCCGCTCTCGTTCCCCTCCCGAACGAAGACGCCCTCGCTTTCGACCTTCCATCCCTGCACGCCGCTGAACTGGACGAACTGTACCGCCATCTCCCACGCTTCCCGGTCCGCCGCATCGCCGCTCTCGAATGTCTTGAGCTCGAGCCAGGGACTATCTGGGTCGGGGTCGAAGAGCTCACGGAAGAGCATGGAGTAAGACGTGTTTCGCTCCATCCACAGATCGGCGATGTCGATGTTGCGCATCTCGTCGGCGTCTTGGAGGATGTCGTTTCGAGGAACGAGCTGGACGAATAGTCGGTCGAGGCGGGGGACGTGTTGGACGAGGGTGTTGAAGTGGCTGGATAGTGGAAAGATGCCGACGTAGGAGAGGTCACGGATGGATGGTGCGATCAAGGGCTCATCGTTCGGGAATTCTTCCGCTCCTAGAAGAGCACCGAGCATTGAAGGCGGGCGCTTGAGGTAGTACTCGTACGTCTTGTAAACTCGAGTTGACGAGCCTTCGTTGAGAAGCAGACTTTGCCAAGGACGGATAGTGAACAAGTCGCACGAGACTCGTTTTTGGTGCGGGTTCTCGGGGGACGGTGCGTCCCTCGAAGAGGACGCAGTCGCTTTTGACTTGTACTTGCTCGTGACCACCTTCTTGCTCTTCCGCGAGAGAGACAAGATATGCTGCGGCATGTCGAAGTTCCACGCATCCCCCAAGAAGAGCATGCGCGAGAGCAGTTGCGCCAGAACTCGTGGCGATGCGATTATGCTCAGCCGTACGGGGTCGACGTGCTCGAACAGCGTCCTCCACAGCCAATTGTAATCTTCACTATATGACGCCTTATTCGCGTGCCCACTCTCCATGAGCTCAACGCTGCTGGCGAGATGCGATGTCGCTACACCACCCAACGCATCCTCGACGAACATGGTCACAGTGGTGACATAGTTCGTCAGGTTGTTGTCTCGAAGGAAGCGGAGGAAATCGATTGTTGCGGCCGGGTCGCGCGTCTCTTCTATGAGCGGCAGCTCGAAGCGGTCGATCGTCCAGATAACATGGCGGAAGAGTAGAGGCAGCACAGCGGCCCTCCACAGCTTGGTAACGACGGACACGTTCTTTAGATCTCTGTCGAAGAAGGGGTTTTGGAGCATCAGCGAGCTTGGCTGGTCGTGGAGCTTCGAATCTGAGGGCGCAGGGCGATCGAGGTAGGTGAAGATTTGGGCCAAGATCTCATTCGGGAGATCGTCGATAGTGACGGCCATGGTCACTACTATTTCGCTGGTGATTTCTGCCGAGATTTGATTAGATGCAAGCTGAGTACAATTCGATGAAGTTGCGTGGTTGAGGTTCTGCAATGCAGATCGCGGAACTCTGTTTCACGGGAAGGTTTCGGCCGAGGCGAGTTTCAAGATCAGACGGAGCGATTGAGGCGGTTCAAACAACGGTTCGGATTAGACTGAGAAGATCAGTCGAGATGACTCAAATGTTCTCGAGATAATTGAAGCTCTCTGGGAGCTGAAGCGCGTCTTTCGGGACTTTGAGTCGGCGAAATTGAGCAGACTGGGATTGGAAATGCGGCATGTCATCGCGGGGTTTCGGTCCAACCACAGGAACCCCTAAATCGCCACAGACCCCCACTGTAGCTTCCCGATAAGGACGATAACGATAAGAGCTCCGGAGCTCCCTTCCGGTCTTCGTTTCGCAGCTCATGAAGCTTCAACTTCTAAGTTGCCATAGACAACCAACTCTTGACTGCAATAAAACCAAAGTCCCAAAATTAGTCGAACGGTGAAATTCAGTCAGCAATTACACAATCTTGGCTTCCCTCAGCCGACGCAACCCTCGTGCAAGCACTTGCTTATTCCTCAATCAGTAACTGCATCATTCTCCACCGCGGTGCCGCTGCGGCGCATGCAGTGCTCCCTTCCGAAAAGAAACATCTTGGAACATCCACCCTTGCCAGCAACGAACACCAACAGACCGCTGGGTAAGAACTGTCCACATTGAAGAAGGCAGGATCGTGATTAAGCGGCCGCTACCGGACTTTGCCATTTGCCGTCTCCAAGAGCACTGGCCCCCTCGTCAGCTATGACAAAGGGCGGGGAAAGCGGGGGTTAAGGTGGGCGCGAAGCTTGGGAATGTGTGGTGAAGATGGAACGGCATGACATCGTTGAGACGAGGGGTGGCGGCCGAAGGGCGGGAAGTATGGCGGGTTTTGCCCGCATGCTTCTAAAACCCCCGGTCAAATGGTCCCATTCATATGAGGTAGCTTTCTGGGCTTGTTTAGATTTCGCATTGCCGAAGGGTAGGTACCATTCCGCTCGGAAACAAGGTAGCCCCAAGTTCGATTCTATTTAAATCAAGTCCCAAGCTCCCGACCTGTTCGGATTCATCTTTTGGGGGATGCAATTCCTCAGTCCAGCTGTTGAAAAGTCCATCATGGCTTCCAAGAATCACCAGAGACCACCCTTCCGCGCGGAGCACATGGGCTCGCTGCTGCGACCCAAGGCTCTTACGGACAAGCGCATTGCTTTGGATGAGAAGAAGGCCGTTGAGATTGCTGCGGATGAGGAGCTAAACCGTCTCGAGGAGGAGGGTGTTCGTGAAATCGTCAAGACGCAGCTTGACCTCGGCTTTCACGCCATCAATGATGGAGAGTATCGACGTCATCAGTTCTGGGGCAACTTCTTCCCTGGCCTAGAAGGCTTTGAGGAAGTTCCTGCCCCCAGCTGGGATATCTTCCGCATGTATGTGCCAGACATTGCGGCTTTCAGTAAGTCATCACGTTCTTATTTGAGAAAGGACTCTGTGGTTAACCATGTCTCCCAGTTGAGAGCGACCACAAGCCAGGAGAATCCATCCTGTGTACTGGCAAGATCAAGCACAAGGGCAGCACCTATTTGAGGGAATGGGAGTACCTCAAGACCCTCATTCCTCCTGAGAAGGTCAAGGATGCGAAGCTCACCCTGCCTGCTCCTGAGTGGTACCACCTGCGATATAAGAAGGGACATGCATACCCCAAGGATGTCTACGCCAACGACGAGGAGTACTTCGCCGACATTGCCAAGGCGTACCGTACGGAGTTGGAGGTATTATACGACCACGGCGTCCGTAACGTCACCATTGACGACCCCAATCTGGCGTGTAAGCTTTTGCTCGAATATCTCGCCCACAGCAATGACTGACAATCACCCAGACTTCTGCTCAGAAAAGATGCTCCAAGGATTCAAAGAAGCAGGCGAAGACTCCGACGCCCTCCTTCAATCCTACATCAAACTCTACAACGACAGCATCAGCTCCCGCCCGGCCGATATGCACCTCGGCATCCACCTCTGCCGCGGCAACTTCGCCTACTCGCGCCACTTCTCCGAAGGCGGCTACGACCGCATCGCCTCCCGTCTCTTCAAGCAGATCAACGCCGACACCTACTTCCTCGAGTACGACACCGACCGCGCCGGCGGCTTCGAGCCCCTGAAGGAGCTGCCCGCGCACAAGAACGTCATCCTGGGCGTCATCACGTCCAAGTTCCCCGAGCTCGAGGATCTCAACAAGATGCGGGAGCGGGTGTTCCAGGCGGCTGACTTTGTGGCGCAGGGGGCTGGTCAGACTCGCGAGCAGGCGCTGAAGAGAATTGGCGTCAGTCCGCAGTGTGGGTTTGCTAGCCACCACCTCGGCAACTCGATCACCCACCAGGATATGGTCAAGAAGTTGGACTTGGTGAGGAAGCTTGCTGACTCGATTTGGCCTGGCGAGCCTTGAACGATGAGTGTTCTAAGCATTAGGCGGCGTAGAGGAGTGGCGTGTCGAGCAGCCTTGGTGTTTATTGTGTGTACATATGCGGCAAAAGCCCTGTACAAGAAGCGGCCTCTGAAGTATTGTTGCTGTTGTTCGAGCAGCGTTAGGAACCAAGTTTTAAAGATGAAAATGTTGAATCTGATGTTTTCATCTTCCTGATACCGTCGGCGAAGTTGCCGCAACCCACTGACGCTTCAAACTCCGCTCAAGACAGATGTGATGGTATTGAGCTACTGCTCGAAACTGGGTATCTCAAGGGCTCTAGGCCCAACAATTCGCCAAACGCCGTTTCATGTGTCTCGTTGGCGACTATCGCCCGCCACTATGCTTCGAATTGCCGGACAGCAATGCCCCCTTCGCAAGCTTCGATGTCGAGGTTCGTTCGTTTTGTCAAGACTCCTCCACCCGAGGCGCTCGCTCGGTCCACATCCACCTCTTTGCCGTAAATCTAGCGCCAATATTCCCTCGATGGAATCGCAAGCATCACATCGGCAATGGCTGAGGGTTATTTCCGACCGTCTTGTAGAGCTCGCGTAGCTCGAATTCCTCATGCCCGCCCTCCGGCACCTCCCCCACCACACGCGCAGGCTGCCCCGCCACGACGCTGAAGCTGGGTATGACCATGTTGGGAGGCACAACGGTGCCCTCGAGTATGCGAACGTAGTCCTTGACGATGGCGAACTCGCCGATGACGCAGTCGCGACCGATGTGTACGTGGGTTCCGATCGAGGCAGCTTGGATGACTGTGTGTTGGCCGACGAAGACGTGGTCGCCTATCCGGAGGGGCATGTAGGTGAAAGCACTGCACAAATCAGAAAATCAGTCAAACGTCTTTCGGTCGGGACCAGCTCGATGAAAGCTGCTCACCCCTTGTACATTCGCCCTGGCGGGCGGAGAACAGCCCCTCTGGAGAGGAAGCAGTATCGGCCGATCGCGACGGCAGTGTTGTTCGCGGGAGCACCACCGGAGGGCTGTATCGATCGTGCGAGGTCGCCGCGGATCATGACTTCGGGCTGAATGACGGTCTTACCGCCTAGCATGATGTTTTGGGTGCCGACGAGCGTCGCCTTGCGGGCGACTTTGTTGCCCGTGTCCTGTGGTCGGCGGTCAGTCTCCTTTGAATCAATCGTGAAGGCAGTAGTAGCTGAAAGCTTACGGTCTCAATGTAGTCTCCTTTCGCCGGTCTTCGCGACATCGTGAGCATTAGTTCTGGGCGTGGGCAGTGGTGTCCAGGAAGGTAGGTGAGTCGCTGGCGATAATCGTAAAGCAGGCGCGTTGGGGCATGTGCTCTGACGTGTTTGCTGGCCCGGCGTGGGGCGGAATTACGGCGCACTCGGGCTGTCAATTGACTTCCCGGTGGCTGCTCCGGCCCTAGAGTTGCTACCTATTGCCAACTTCAATCCCAATTTGCTGTTCACAAATTTAAAAGTTGAGGAAGGACTTTAATTTAGTCATTCGGATAACCTTGTTTTTTTTTTTCTTTCGTCACTACTAGATATCAGTGTTTTACTTTTGTTTAGTGGTTTGTCTGTAATTCAATAAAACACCCAGTCGTTCTAGTAACACTCTCTTCACACGGCTTTTACTGTTTGTGGCAGCATCCTTTGCGGTCCATAACAACACACTGGCTAGCTAGCTGGGTGGATATGGGTCTGGTCTAATCGTCGTGAACAGCAAAAAACGAAGATGCGGCCAGTGTGGATTGAACACACGACCTTCAGATTGATTGAATGAAGTTTCTCAGGTTCGGAGACCCGCTTCAGTCTGACGCTCTCCCAACTGAGCTATGTCCGCCGCTCATCTTCGAAGCACCACCCGAGCTCCACATGATCATGAACCACACACACCATTGCGTTCGGCTTCACATTTTGAAATTGGGAGTCTCGTTCTCTGAGAAAGATATTTTAATTTCAATTGACTTTTGCGAGGAGCAATCTCACTCGTGGCGGATCTTGCGGACACCACGATGTGTAGCCTGAGTGCGTATGTCGATCTGTTGGACTGTTGCAAGGCATGATGAAGATCGGTTTCTTGCCTCGACGAACGAATCACGACCCGTTGAACGGAGTAGCACGAATATATAACATGGGAGCTGAGGGGCGCAGTCCAATCAGCAGGCCATGCGAACCGCCAAGCCTGCAGGCGACGCTTTTGGATGTTGGCGGGTCCAGCCTGCTGGTCACAGCCTGATTGATCTTGAACCAGGAAGTTCCCCTCTTCATCCTCTTCTGTGGCCGAAATCCCGTCCCAAAGATGCGTGAGACTGGCGCCTCGACGCCCCGCAGCCGCACTGGACTTAGGTTCAGGGAGAGACTCAGCAAGCTCGTCCAAAGACCATCATCTGCCTCTGGCAAGTCTCATCTGAACGTCCCCGAGCTCTCGAGCCGAGACTCCTCTTCAGTGCTCAGCATCAAGAACAGCATATCAGATGGCGTCAACACCGCTTCAGAAGACTCCGTCCAAAATAAAGCTACGTTGTCTCTTACAGAGGCCTCGACCGCCGTGTCGCCACCGTTCGATGCATCGATGGGAGATGTTTCTAGCACAACCACCTCCATGAATGGCCATGTCACGCAGATATGGCACAGAGCTTTAGAGGCGGTCATGAGGGATGAAGAAGTGAAAGAAGCAGCCATTCTGTTTGACAGCCTTCTCAAGGAACACATGAAGCAAGGTTTGCGCCCTAACGTCCCTTATCCGTCCAGCTCATGGTCTGACTTGAAAAACTAATCAGAACAAGCTTCTTCGACACAACCAAAGAGCTCCTCGGAGCAAGACCCGAAGAATATGGAGGATGCTCTCAGCCTAGTCGATCGCACTTTGCAAGACGCAACGAAAGCTCAACAAGCACTGGATACCACCTTGGGCGTATTCGCCGTCGTAAAAGGACTAAGTTCGTTTGTGGGATCTATGCTATCAGAATGCCCACCCGCAGCTCTAGCTTGGGCTGGAGTTTGTGCCTGTATTCCAGTGAGTGGCTCGGTTCTCTTAACAGGCATTGCAATGCTTAACATGGCATCCGATAGATCATTGCGGCGCCTATAGAACAACATCAGAGTATGATCAAGGGCCTCAGACACATCTACGCTCGGGCGCCCATCTATTTCGACCTGACCGGCAATCTTCTCCAGAATGGAGCCCATAGCTCTGACTTAGGAAATTCAATCCGCACCAACATCCAACCACTCTACGAAGGCATTTTGAAGTACATAATGCTGAGCATTTGCTCAGTCCATCGCGGAAAATTCAGTCGTTTCTGGGAAGCCATCTCTGGCCAGGCTCAGTGGGAAACCCTTCTCAACAACATCGAAAAAGCCGAAGAGAGTTCGTTACGAAACATACAAACGATTCACGGGTCCAAACTTCTGGCCGTCACCGCTCATTTCAGCGAGAGATACACAAGGGCAGCTGACCGTGAGGAAGATCGGCGCAGACATGAATATCTCCACGAACTGAAGGGGATGGATTATAAAACTCGTCTAAAGACCACTGAACGTCGACTTGATGGAACCTGTCAATGGTTTCGCCAACACCCTGGGTTTAGAGGCTGGCTGGACAGCGATGGTGGCCTACTTCTGGTCTCGGCCAGTGCCGGCTGTGGCAAGTCTGTCCTCGCCAAGTACCTCATCGAGGAATTGCTTCATGAGGAAGACGATAGCGCGACTATCTGCTATTTCTTTTTCAAAGATAGCGATCCGCAAGCAAGAAGCAGTTTGAATGCTTCTAAAGCAATTCTTCATGGTTTTCTCAAGTCAAACCCTGAAATGGTAGATACCTGCATGGAGGAACTGCCCATAATTTCTGATAACGTCTCCAATACGGACTTGTGGTCTGCATTCGACAAATTGTCAAGAGCGCAAGGTGCAGGAAGAATCATCTGCGTGTTGGACGCACTTGATGAGTGTGATCCAACTGAACGGGATGGCTTGATCAATAGTCTCAAAGGCTACGTCATCAAGAACCACAGCACAATAGGCGCGAAGTTTATTGTTACAACCCGAGGGTATCCACAGATTGTCAACTTGTTCGCCGACTTCTCTTCCAACAAGATCCATTTAGATGGCGACAGTGATGAAGAAAAGCGCCAAATACAGAAGGAGATCAGCATTGTGATGGACCATCAATTGAACAAGCTGGAGACGACAGTGCCGGACATCAGCCCTGCTACATTGGATGTTATACGCACAGGACTGATCGAGAACAGCACAGAACAGAGGACATATCTGTGGTTGCATCTCATGTTTGACTACATTCACAAGAATAGGTTTTGTACCAGGGAAGAATGGCGAGAAATCTTCCGCAACCCTCCCGACACTGTCGATCGAACTTATGAAGGACTCTTGCAAAGTGTTACGCCACAAGCGAAGGAAAGAGTGCGCACTCTCTTGGCTCTTATACTGGCTGCGCAGCGACCGCTAAGTATTGCGGAGCTCAGTACTGCTGTCAACTGTCGAATCAACACACTCGAGTCACGACGTTTTGATCTCGATGATGTCCCAGACGAAAAGGAGTTTGGATCTTGGATGCGATGGGAATGTGGCTCTTTTGTCACCATCTATGAAGGAAAAGCCTTCTTGATTCATCAGACTGCCAAGGAATTCCTTTTAGAAACGACAAAGACCGCCCGTGGGGGTTGGCAAGGTTCAATGACGAAACACGTCATACATCAATTTATGGCCGAGTCTTGCATATCATTTCTCTCACTCGAAAAGTTCCAACGACAAGAATATGCCGTTTCTGTGCAGACCAAAATACCATGGGCGGATGAGGATCGGACAGAAAGATTTCTTATTCAAGATGCCCTGAGAGATCGCCATCTTGAAGCTTGCCGCTATCTTGAAGCTCGCCATCTTGAACCTTTTGTCGTTTATTCAGCGATGAACTGGATGCACCACTTTAGGCAATGCCAGCAATCTGGTCTCTCTGACCGCCAAGTCACAGACGTTGGCAAGGAATTCTTTGACCTCTACCTCAGTCTTTTCACGAAAAAACGCGCGGAAAGCTACATAACATGTGGTGAATGGAGGCAGCGAGCATGGTATCTCATGCTGATGGCTTCGAAACCTCCTGGAATATCTTCACAAATGGAAATTACGCAGAAAGAATACCATTTGTTGTCGCCAGAGACTCTCGCAGTCTCAAGTCTTGCTTGCATCTTCGATCATAGGCGTCTTCTAGTTTTCGCCTTGGATGTGCTGGGAGAAGAAACCATCCATACAGCCAATGATCTTGCCACTGAGTTCATCAATACCAGGCCCGGTCTCTCGCTTCCCCATTTTGCGGCTTGCGGAAACTCGTCGTGGTGCCTGAGCCATCTTCAAACCCGAGGACACAATCTAGACCTTCAAGATTTCGTTGGTCAAACACCACTTCATAAGGCCATGATGATGGGCAATGAACAAGTGCTTGAAGTTTTACTGAAGTTCGGTGCTTCGAAAATTAGCTTGGACTGCTCTAACATGACACCCCTAACCTGGGCCTTGATATCCATGCCCGGTTGGATCAAAGAATATATTGCGTCTAGTGACAGCGCTGAGTCTGAGCTGCGCTCACTTCTATACTTTTCCGCCACATCAGAACTTCCAGGCTACGGAGACAAGATGAGACAGAACTGGATAACAAAGCTTCAGAAGCTGCGCGAACTGCGTTCAAGTCACAGACGCGCTGCTCGGTTGCGTCGCGATGTCACCAAATACTCTCCGCTACGCATACGCAACGAGGAGCCTAACATGTTTGCTGGTCACTTTGGAAACCTATATGACAACTCTTGTAACGCCCTGCATCTCAGTGTCCAAGACGAGAAGAGAATCCACAACACGTTGGAATTGCTCAAACATCAGGAGATGGTTCATGCAGCCGATGACTTTGGAAATACTCCACTTCATACAGCGACATTGGCAGACAATGTCTCTGCCATACGGGTCTTACTTGATGCTGAACTAGACCGCTCTGTTGATTATAACTGCAAGGGAGAAAGGGGCGATACCCCATTGCACACGGCATGTAAAAAAGGGCATCGCCTTGCGGCCGAGGTTCTCCTACAAGCGGGGGCAGACCCGTATATTCGAAATGACGACGGCTTAACGGCTGTAGAAGTCGACCGGCCGCCACATCTCGGCGTTGGACTAGTGGAGCTGATCCGCAAACGGGACGAAGATGACCTCTGAGAGTCCAATGTGCCTGTCTCGGTTTAAACGCCTTAAATCTCAACTTCCGTGCAGAGATTCTTTCGCCCGGTTGTTCTTGAGACATGTGGCAGATTTTTCTCTCTTAAGCTTGTAGGCATATTGCTGTATTTCTTTCCAATTTGATCAGTTGCCTATTGAAATTTGGACTTGATTGGAGATGAATAATCAAGCAGAGCAACGGAACTAACCACGATTCCTTCTATCCAGACATGCATTCTTCATCCCCAGTTTTATTTGGGATCACCTACGCAGAGGAAATCGTATTCGAACTACTACGTTCCTCGCCTCTTGAGGCTGGCAATCTCTATGCTATCTTAACTGATGTTCCTAACACATGATTTTTAAAAATGTGATGCGGAACTCTTGGATCGATCTGTCTTCCCACGCACGGCTGGAAGTCGCTACATTGCCGCCGTGAGAAGATGATCGCAGAAGTCAAAACAGATGTAATCCCTCTAACATAAGGGTGCTTTATGTCTATCATTACTCGGCATCGAAATGACAAGAAAGATTTGGCGATAGCTTCTATGTCTTAAGCTCTGTTTCGCGTCTAGTACAGTAAAGCTAGCGGCACTCTGCTGATGTTGGAATGTATTAGTTTACTTTAGTATTCAGGTATAACGCAAACCCGACGTTAGAGACCTTGCGCCTTAACAACATAACGCTGAATGCACCATGCACGATCTATCTAGCTCCAAACACGCCTCTGGCTCTTAGAGATCTGATCTCACAACGAACGAGATGACGCCATCTAGCGGTAGAAACTCCAACGAAATCTGTCATGTCCTAAAACAGTTACTCTTGTGGGAAACCCGCGTGCCCAATGATTCCGCCTTGGGTCCATTAAGAGGCCGGATGGATCCAGAAATTCGTCACTCGACAAACCATGAGGTCGTTGTCCAAAGCGAAACATACAATCAACAAAACCGGCAAGTAAGGCTAGAAATGCACACAAAACAAGTCAGATCAAGCGCAGGCAAACGAGCTATCGCCACGAAGCACGCAACACCCACCAAGACTAACATTCAACTTCCAACAGTGTTCCAATATCGCGTCTCTAGCGCCAACACACCGTTCCCCTCCCTCTCCAACCGGAAACAGGCGCGTTCACCGCCATGATCCAGCCTCTACCCCAGGCCAAGAGGCTGAAGGAGTGTCGGCCTTCACTAACACTGGCCCATCACAAATTCCTCAATCCGCCCAGCTTCCTCCAAAGAAGCCACACCCACACCTCCACCGCACCAACCGCGGCTGACCACCCTCCCCTCCCCCCTCCCGTTCAAAATAAACTCACCTCATCTCTGCCAACAGAGCCACAAGCCCAACATCCGACCGACAAACAAGCCACTTTCCCAATCCTCCTCTTAGCCCGCATGTATTCGCATGCGCAATAAGCGCTTGGTGGTTGCGTCCTGCACCCGCTGATTGGTCCACGGACGCGGTTGTGTGTCCGCGCTCACCACAGCCGCGACCACTCACCCATCGCCCGAAAAACAGATGCATTCTTTTGATTATGTGCAGACAAACTAAGGTACAGTCTGCCTTAGTCCAGCATTTCGCAGTGCAGTACACCTCGCAAAATCGGATGATGGGCGCGCCGGACCCCCTCACTTGAGCAGCCTGCCTTGTTGGTGGAAATGCTGTGTCGCGGGGCCTCTTCCGAACCTCTCCCGTCCCATGAATTGGTCATTGAAAATCGAAAAGATGTCAGTCGCTGAAGCTGGCTACACGTCTCTGCGACACCACCTGTTGCCCGCGCCGCAGGAGGGCATACGTTGGAGAAAAACTTGGCTTACGGCCCAAGCTCGCCATAATCTATATCCTGGTCCCAACAGAGCAACCCAACCTGGAAGTCGGTAAAATGCCCCGACGCAGGATCCGGGGGTGGTCGACAACCAACGGCCGACGGCCAGGCCAACAGGCCGCATGTTGGTCCTCATTTTCCCAGGCAGACGGAAAATAATGGAAGAATGCGCCTCGCGGCCATGTGGCCGCCAGGCTACGCCTCTGTCAATAGCAAGGAATACTGGGCGTTGATCGGACGATTGACAGAGGCCGAGTGCCGTACAATCGGGTCTGTCACGGAGGCAGACACGTTGGACGCACCTTTCAAACGGATTCTGGGATATTCGCTGCTGTGCATTACCCCTTGGGTGCACGCTGTTTCCAGACTTCTGGCATCTAGGCAAGTAGGAATTCCGTTTCGAAGAGATCCGTAACCCCAAGACCCCGTGTTTGTCCATTTCCACCATTGAAATAGCATCGTGATATACTCAGGGGCTGCGAAATGTCACTGCCAGGTCGCATTGCACCTCTCTGACGGACGGAGTAAAGTTTGTTCAAGTCATCTTACGGCCAGGATAGGTATCTCCCGTTTGATCACCCGCACATCGGCAAAAAGTCAGGACGAACGACCTTGCAGGCTCCTCAGGGAAGGTGATCCCCCATAATTGTGGTCTTCCCCCTGACAATGACAATAACTTCGTGTTGGTTGAGAGTCGTTTTTGGGGAAAGGGAGATCACCGCAATTGGGGAGAATCGTACAAGACTTGGTCAGTGCGTTTAGCAGTCTGAAACGTGGGCTAAGAAGTTAGTGGCCGTTTGAAACGAAAGCTTCCCCTCGGTTGGAGAACGGTTAAGGTCGATTAGAGGTGGGAATGACTTGGTAAATGTCGTTGTGAATTGCAACACAAACTGCACGTTGATGAATTGAGTTTTTCGAGGTTTCGAAGAGTGCGATTACCTAGTTTGTGAAGGTGCGGGCGGCGCGGTTGTGTCTGAGACGCGATTTACACGAGGTTTCCGTCGTCCCATGTCGCGGGTCTGCGATCGGCTCATGGGGGTTTAGATTGCGGGCAAGGATGGTGAGGGTTTGTTGGTGCTTGTCCTTGTTCTTGGCGGGGCTTCTTCTCGGCTTCGCGACCCGCTGGCTGGTTCTGACAGCACGGTGGCAGACAGACACGATGGGAACACCGATCATCCGGAGAATAAGTATGAACGCCGCAGATGGCCACGATGATGACCGCGCCTCACTCACGATGATTTGAGATGTCTGCGACGAGAAGCGATAGCGACCAAGCCTCGCGGCGCTGACGACACTTGCGACACCGTGATTCAGGAACAGAAAGGCTATTACTTTCCGACGGAGACTCCGCGAACGAGGTTCACCCGGCCGGATCGCATATAAAGTTTGCCATTCTGAGGTGAAGCAGATGACACAGGGCTCATTGCGCCCCGCCGCCGGTTCCAAGGTAGGATTCTGCCGACTCGTGCACCAGGAACCGTTGCCATTTTACCGGCGAATTTTCCTTTGGCTGTGGACAAGGCGCGGGAGAAGCTCGCCGCCGCGACCGAAATCCCCTGGCCTCCCGCGGAATCTCAAACGTGGCAGGGCAAGAGATGGCTCGTATCCTGGGGACAGGAAAAAATGTCCGTACCGACGGGACGGTGTGGTATTGCAGATCTCCAGACGAGGTAACGGTGACGTGACTGCGTCGAGTTTCAGGTTCGCGATGTTTGAATCGTGATGGCTGACGGGCTGGAGAAGAAACGAGGTTGTGGCAGAGAATATCGCTGTTTCTTTGGAGAAAAGGTTCAATACGGGGTCGGTTGTCAGGAGACGAGAGGTTCCAGTCGCGTCTGAATTAAAGTGCGATTGTGATGTGATGGGTTCTGAGGATCAGTGGAGCGTTGCGGGCGAACAGACATTGTTCCCGCGGTGAACAGTGCGTCGCCTTAGCAAGGAAACGAAACGTTCTGGACGCAGGGGACAGGACGCCGAGAAAGTTGGGTGTCGGAACGGCGGCCGGGCTTATCGGAGTGCCGTTGATCGTAAGCAGCGAAGAAAAAAACGGTGCGGTCGGCCGGTCGGCGACATTCCGGGAGCGCAAGATGCCCAGATGCTTGGATCTTGTCATTGTCATGGCCAGCCCCCCGGAAAGAGGCACTTCCGCCGCGATGTCTTTGCAGTGATGGTATTTGGGGAAACAATGTCATGTCATGTGTCTTGCCAATGCTTCCCCAAATAAACAACCCCTCAGTAATTCTCTCACTGTGACTGCTCACCCTAGGTAGTGTACGACCTAATTACTGCACCTGCTGGCCGTCAATTTTAGAAGCAATGCCGCTTATTGAGCCAGTCAGCGCGGGGATGGTGGGCTCCTCCAACGGCTTCGGTCCCACGAGCAGCCGTGCTATATTTTGTGAGCGTGCTTAGCGGAAGCGTGGCAGCCGACAGTTGAGTGCATCCTGAGGGGACCTTGGCCACCGTCAGCCCGTCATTGCGGTATGAATGCGGATTAGCGGCGAGCGGGCGAGAGGCGCACAAGGATGGAGACTGTGAGGGGTTCGAAGTGGCCGGTTAGCCGCGCCCACCCGCGATGGAGACTTGACCGTATCGAGAGAAACGGTATGGCGAGGTGACATTCTGGAGGAAGGCCATGGCACAAGCGAGCGCCACATTGGACGGGCTGCAGATGGGAAATGAGGAAGGTACTTTGACGTCCGCGGAGGAGGGGCGTTTTCCAGTCCGTGAGGGTCGCAACAGGTTTCCAGCCAGGGTCGACTTTTGACAGGACATTGTCGAGACGGTGGCATCGACGACGAGGAGGAGAAACAGAGCTGGCACCATGTCGGCTATCTCAGATGGCGTGGTCGTCTGACAAGCGGACGTTGGATGGTGTATTCAAAAGCCAAGATGGCCAAGCCTCTTGGCTTCAGAGATCCGCGCGCTTTCCCACAAACCCAAGACATTCCAAGCGAAAACCCAGATTCATTGTCATCGACTCGTAGGTAGGAGGTATCCGTAGGCGCACAGCGGACGCAAAAGCTTGCAGCCATCGCTGCTGACATGCTCCGTCATAATTTGTTTCTTTATTGAGGGAAGGGGCTCATCGCCCTGGTCGAGGTGTCAGCGTTTGGAATCGGGAGATTAGGCAACCCCAAAGACCGGCGTGTTGGGACGGTGGCTCGCGTGGCTGTTTGAAGGATTGATTGACAGCGTTTTCCCAACGCCATGTTTTGAGGATGGATGCAGTCAGACGGGTACGATGTTAGCCATGTTTCTGGGCCACGAGGTCGGTCGAAGTCGAGGTCGATGTGCTCATCAGAGGTCCCAACAGGCTGACTGCGTCGTGGTTCAAGTTGCTGGAAGGAACGATGCGATGGACGAAGAAACGGTTTCTGCCAACTGAATGCAACTGCCTGCAAAGGCCGGCAAACGGGCCCCTCCCAGCCACTGGCAACCCTACAGGCAGGCGACGGCTGCCGTCTTGGTCGCTTCCAGTTTACGGCGTGGTTGGTGGCTGCCTTCCGACTAGACGCGCATTGCGCCAGGCATCCCCGCAGGGCGTTGCAAGGAAGGGGAAGGGTCCATCGTGGTGGTGTGGGGCCTCTCTGCCTTCCTCCCCCGGAACACTAGTCGAAGAGGTACGTACCTTTGATTTTACGGTTGCCCGTTTGCTCTCACCTTCCACCTTCCACCTTCCACCTTCCACTTGCACACTCGAACCCCCTTCGTCTCATCTCTCTCCAGGAATACCTCGTAGGGAGAGCAAAGGGGAAGGCTTGAACATGGCACTCGGCAACCTTCTTTGACCTCAATCTCCACCCAATGCCACGAGCTACCCATACCCGACATGGGTCGACGGGCGTTCTTTCTGCCCTCGAGAAAGAAACTCTCCATGGGCACGGACGAGATGCTTGCATGACCTCGCATCCCATCCTACCTGTCCATCCTCTCCAGGGACACATGAGAAGAACATGGAGGTGGGCCAAGAATGACTCCGTGTTCCCAATTGCCTCAATTCTCCTTCTCCTTCCGTACCTCTCTTTGCCCAGAGCGTGCCCCCCATGAACCCCTTCCGGACGCCATCGCGGCCTGCCTCCAAGAGACCCCCTGCACCGCCTTGCATTCTGAGAAGGAAGCCTGCCTTGTCAGACCCGAACTAAGTGCGCCTCGTTCGGGTGTGGATGGTGCTGGTGCGGCCAGCCCATCATCCCAGCTCCCAGTTCAACAGACCTCGAACACTTCTTCAATATAAAGTCTACTTGCTTCCGTCCCGTCTTCCGTCGTTCCAGCTCCAGACCAGTCTCATCGCATCAAACTCAATCAACTCATAAGTTTCCTTGTTTCCTCTCTCCCTTTCTCTTTCTCTGTCAACCCGCTCTTCTCTTCACTCAAATCCATTATTCATCGAGTTGCTTTTCTCGTCTTCGCTTGACCGGCATTAGTCCTGTCTCGGCCCAAGACCGTTCTCCATTCGACCTGCACGATTTTAAGCGCCGTACCTAAATTCGTCTCTGCGAGATTGCCCCATACCACCACGACGTTCTTCGGCCCGCCGCATCACCTATTCATTTTTTTCTTACTCACCTGCCTACTGCGTGCATCCAATCCACTTGATCTAAGAAAAGATCTCCGGCCACCGGTATTACTTTGTTATATATCTCTGCATCCGGATCTCCCACCAAACCGCTCCCAATCTCGTCCTCCAGCTTGTCGATCACCAACAGACAATACCCCCAAAAGACCGACAACATGCTCGCCAAGACCTTTGTCCTGCTAGCCACCCTGGCCCTCGCCTCCGCCGGCCCAGTCCCCAGACCAGGCGGCTGCGCGACCTCTCCCGCCAAGCCCACTCTTCCCACCAACGGCAACGGTACGTACCCCCACTTACACACTCTCACTCTTGAAGCCATCACCATAACTAACACTCTCCCCAAAGGCGTCGAACTCCCCGCGCCCGCAGAGGACCTCGTCCTCAAGCACATCGCCCTCGGCCACGGCATCCAGAACTACACCTGCACCGGCACCAACGCAACCGCCATCAGCGCGACCGCGACCGGCGCCCTCGCCGCCCTCTACGACGCCATGTCCCTCTACCCGAACCAGGGCCCCCAGGCCCTCTCCATCGACGCCTTCAACAGCCTGACCACCAATGCCGTCTGGGGCGCAAAGCTGCCCCTCACCTCCGACGGCGTCTCCAAGTTCGGCGCCTCCTCCGCCTCCCCGTTCCCCACCCCCGGCGCCGACCTCGACATGCCCGGCCTCAAGGCCCTCCCCTTCATCGGCGTCCACTTCTTCGACGCCACCGGCGTCCCCACCTTCAAGGTCGGCGAGGACATCTTCGCCGGCGGCAAGCTCAACGGCACAAAGGCTCCCACCGCGGCTGACGTTGGACCCGAGAAGACGGGCGCCGTCGACTGGCTCCGCCTCGGCGACAAGGGCGCGAGCAAGGGCATCACCTCCATCTACCGCGTCGTCACCGCCGGCGGCGTCGCCCACGCCTGCACCACCCCCGGCGCGTCCGACAGCGTCCCCTACGCGGCGTACTACTGGATGTACGGCCCCAAGGCATAAGCTCTCTGGCGCAGGGGCAATTTCAGTCTTTTCATTCGGCGTTTAAAACCATACATCGGTTCACGGGGTCTCAGGGCGGTCGTCTCTTTTTTACGGTTCTCACAAAACTCTCACGGGTTTCTTTTTCGGTTCTATACGTTCTCTCGACAGACAAAAACTTACTTTGGATATACCCCCGGCGCGGATGCTACTGGAGAAGATAATGGGGCTTTTCTTTTACGATGTGGTTGGGTTGGATAGGTGTACATGGGATATGAGGAGGATGGCTTGCCACTGGCATTCGTTGATCCCTCATCGACATTGGCTTTCAATTGTATTTAGTAGGCGTTACACGGTACATACTGTCAAATGACCGACTCCAGTCGGTGAACAACCTGTTTCCACTTGCTCCTCAGTAACATTCTTGACACAAGACCCTACCTGTACACAAAGACGCTCATGAGTCTCTGGTCGGAGTACACCTCCGAAAAGGCTAGCAATGAGGAAGTTCTGGGTGAAGATAACAGCAAGCAAGCATAGGTATTGCCCAAGTCCGAGAATTCGCGGTCGGTAGACTGGGCCTAACCTTGCCTTAAACAGCGGTTTGCATGCTCTATAAAACACCCAAAGAAGCCACCCGATACCAATCCAATGTTGGCAACTCTTTGGTATCATCCCGAAGTCGGCATTGCGAATTGGGTTAGGATACCTTGCTGCTATTTACATGCCGGGTCGGTCGCGCCGAGCAAGCAGCGTTGCCAAACTATTGCCCACTCCCCCGAGTATTCTACGGCAATACACCAAAAGTAGCGATACGCGACAGCGACATAGACACAGCTCGTCCGCTGTACTTTGAAGACCCCTGAGGCCAGTGGCGCCCTAGGAACACCAGACCGCCCAGCTGCCTAGGAGATTCGATACCTGTCCCGCTTCATCGATGAGATCCAATAATCATACCTGCTGGCAGATATTTATATAGGTCGGAAATTCTCCACCTAAAGACGAGATCGTTGGCGGCATAAAATGCCCAACGAGCCTTTCTGAGAGTGCCTCAGAACAATGCACGAGCATCCCTTTGCTACTTGTTCTGAAGTCACCGCTGCTGAGTCCTTCGACATTGACCTGTCTGTATCATGGCTTCACTTGGACGCGTGCTTATGAAGCCTTCATCACCCGAATACTTGCGGATGATTGTGCTAGTATATACCGCAAACAGTGATCCACAACACCCAGATTTTCTCTGTCAACGACTTTACATTAACAATCTAGGCAACAACAGGCCGCCCAGCTGCCTCAATAAGCGATTGTCCTATCGGACTATCCAGATTTTTGACGTCGAGAAGTGTATTGGTCTGATTTGCACGTCTCCCAGACAGTTTCCCTCTTTTATAGCAGAGAATGCGCAAATAACCAAGCCTCCCACTCAGAGGCGAGGTTGTTAGCCGTATTAAAACGCTCAAGGAACTTTTCTGAGGCTGCCCAACAATGAAACCAAAAAAAAGAACGGCAGTGACGTTAACGCTGCCAAGGGCCCTGAGCTCATTGCTGTCTTGACCTATCCATTTCAGTAAGCCTTGCCTACATCCAAGCCCTCGCGACGATCTCCTCCTACAACCATCTCTGACGTATTCTGGACCAATATACCAAAGGCAGCGAGCGGTGACAGCGAGATATACGTCTGTCTTCAACCTTGTCAACATCCTTGCGCCGACGGTGGCCAGGAACAACAGGTCGTTCAGCTTCTTGCCGTCGACATATTCAACGTCAATGGTCACCAAGACAGGCAGCATTGGTCTGAGTTGCAATATCCAGACAACATCCCTCATTTATAGCAGACGGCAACTCCAGCAACCAAGGCTGCAGTTGCGTTATAACCGCTGCGAACAACCGCCGACAGAGGGCAAGAAAGAGCCCGCGCCTTCGTCCACCAACGCCATCCTGTTCATTGACACTTGGGAATTGACCGGCAACGTCAGCTTGTGGGCTTTCGCATCACCTTGAAACATACATCCCTCACACGAACACCGGCGACGGAGAGTCCAGTTGGGACGGGGCCCTATCGATGATGACGACAAACGCGGCAAGAGATATTACTCTCCAGGCACTCACGCCATATTCGACAACCCCTAAGTTGGTTCATCCCCCGCGGAGATATCTACACTGGATGATGACGCGCCAGCCAAGCCCGTCAGTCGACCTCAACTGAAACCTGCATACGCGCAATGAAACCTCTGGTCAAAGAAATTAGCCAGCGATCCTCAATCAATCATTGGTTGCGCATGTCCAGCTGAGAGACATCTTTAAGCGCCGGTCAGAAACAAAACATCTCAGATATATGAAAAGTCGAACTGCCAGGGACGTAGGGAATTAGGTAAATTTGGGACTTGTTCCTCCTTATTCTTTGTCGTGTGTTCATTCAGCCCCTCGGGTGATCCAGTCCCCCACGTCTTCCTCCATCAACATCTCTTCTACCAAAAAAGCTGCCATTCAATACAATGCCTATGCCTACGTCGGCGTTGACCGCTAGTCCAAGTTTCAGGTCTCCGAATATATCAGCGCGAAATGACATACCATCCAAAACGTCGAAAATCGACCGCCAGTCTCTGCAATACCAACACCGATTTTGCATGCTGCTTGCCGTTCGGGCCGCACAGAATCTTTTCGTAACCGTTTACCTTCTGCCATCGAGGCCGCCGGCGAGATCGGCCTCCAGACCGTTGCCCTGGCCGTGACCAAGGTACTCCTGGGGTCGGGGGTCGGAGGACGTCCAGCCAGCCTGACCAGAAGGAATGGGCACTTGCCCAGCGGCGGCCTGCTGAGCTGCCTGGGAGCCAGCCTGGGTAGCTCCAGGGACAGTACGGACGAGCTGACGGAAGCGGTAGACCTCCTCGAGAATCATCTTGCGCATCTCACCGACATCTTCGACAACCTCGAAGTCGAAGTTAAAAGTAGTGGGGCAGTCGGGCTCGTCCGAAGCGTCGTGCCAGATGTGAAGGTAGGGGTGCTCGAGAGCCTGCTCGACACTGATACGGCTTGAGGGGTCGAAGGCAAGCATGCGGTCGAGAAGGTCGAGGGCGTCGGGGTTGGCCTGAGGGAACAGGCTGGGGAAAGGCTTCTTGGGCATGAACGGCAGGTTGCGGACGTACTCCTGGGCACGAGGCGAACCGATGCGGGAAAGTGTTTCCTCGTTGGGGGTTCCGAGGATGTGGAGGATCTGGTTCAGCTGGTCGACGTAGTCACGGCCCTTGAAGAAGGGTCGGCCGCCGAGAAGCTCAGCCAAAATGCATCCCACCGACCAAACATCAACTGTTGATTTGTCAGAAGCTGCACAAGGATGCTGACATGTCCGCCTGGAGAAATGACATACTAGCTTTGGTGTAGCTCTGGAAGCTCAACATAATCTCGGGAGCACGGTACCATCTGGTGGCAACGTACTCCGTCATGTATCCGGCATTCTCTTCGGGGTCGACGGAGAAACCACGCGCAAGGCCAAAGTCGCAAATCTTGAGCTCGCAGTCGGCGTTGACCAGCAGGTTACCGGGCTTCAGGTCGCGATGGAGGACGTTGGCGGAGTGAATGTACTTGAGGCCGCAGAGGATCTGGTAGATGAAGGACTGGAAGTGGGCGTCGGTGAGAGGCTGGCCGGATCGAATGATAGCCGCGAGATCGCATTCCATCAACTCTGGAGCACCACGAGAGTTAGCATATTACCGCATTCGGACGGGCGGATGCGTTCGGGAGAAAGCGTACCCTCGTACAGGTAGGTCTCGTTGAAGTTATCAGGTCGGGGAATATCCATATCGTAGAGGCAGGTGATCTGTTGAAGCAGGCTGTCAGCATTTTGTCTGGGGCGTCGTCGTGCAGCAGCTGAGGGGTGGTGGCGCGCGGGGCTGTTGGAAACAGCTCTGCAGTGATTCAAAGGACTCACGTTGCGGTGTCCCCTGAAGTGCTGGAGCAGCTTGATCTCGCGCAATGCGCGCTTGGCGAGAATCTTCTTGCTAAAGACATTTGTGACCTTCTTGATGGCGACGCCTTCTTGAGTCTGGTTGTTGACGGCGGCGCTGCATCGGGAGAGGAGTCGTCAGCATTTCTGGGCGAAATGGCGGGGCAGCAGCAGCGGGCGGCGGCCAGCAGCACGCCGCAGCAGCAGCAGGATGAGGGGAAGAGAGAAGGAGTCGCACGCACCAAACAATGCCGTAAGCTCCCTGGCCGAGCTCCTTGGTGACGGTGTAGCGCTCGTCGACGATGAAGTCCTGGTTGAAGACCTTGAAAACCTTGCGTCCCTGCAGGTCACCCATGATTGCGGCTTTTTGGATCGGTTGGTGAAGCTGTGTTGGTTTTTCAGCGGTTGGAGATGTTGCTTGGTCGAATGGTGTCGAGAATCGAGGGGTATCTTTTGCGAGTCAATCGAGGCAAAGGTGGGGAAGCGAGCAAGGAATGCGATGCGATGCGACAGTTGCGGAACAGACAGGGTAGCGAGAGCTGCGAAGAGAAAAATGGCCCGTCAGACAGAGCCGAGTCCACGAGGGAAGTGGGCGGCGGCGATCAGGCGGGAGGTATTATATAATGATCTGCTGGACACAGCAGGTTCCTGTGGTATCGACAATGCAGTGCCAGGACGCGGGAAGCGGGTTGTTCTTGTCTTTGTCTCCCCTTTTGTTTCCGGGAAGGTTGCAAGGTTGCGTGCGGGCGGGCGTCGGGAGAGGTGAGGCAGACGGAGGGAAGATAGGTAGGGAAAAGATGGAAAGCGAGGGGAGGAAGAGATAGATATTGAGCAGTAAGGTAGGATAGGATACCTTATGAGAGAGCTGATGTAGTACGTAGCAGGCAGGTAGGTAAATAGGCGCGGGAGGTAAGGTACTTGGTAGCTGGTGGAGGAGGATGGACAGGACAGATACCTAGGACTGGGAGCTAGGACAGAGCGGAATGGGATGGGCAGGATGGGATGGGATGACCAGGGAGGTAAGGTAGCAGACACAGAGACAGGTACCTTAAGGTATGGATGGCTTACGGGATGGAGCACGACACACACAAGAGGCAGGAAAAGGCGATAAAAGAGCTGGGTGTCAAAGGCACGAGCCGAGGAGGAGGAGCAACAGGAGGAGACAATCTGGAGGGGTACACCACACTCAGCATTGGCTTCACCGAATAGCTGTCCGTACCTGCCTGCCTGGCAGGTCCAAGGAGGGGCTCGTTGTACGAAGGAGCCACCTTATCCCACCGCAAACGGGAAAGCGAAAGGGGGCATACGGAGTTGATATCTGCATTGTCGCACCGACATTGGGTACAGTGATCCCCGCCCGCCTTACGAGGTCATTTACACTCGACAAAAAGCGCCAAAACTTGCCCCGTCCAGACCTCGACAGCGCCCTCTCTTCTGGCTGGACCTCTCTCCAACTTTTCTGTTCCATGGGAATTGGGGGCTGCAATATGGCCCAGATCTCTTCGTCGGGTGCAAGGTAATGTGCAAGGTGCAAGGTGCAAGGTGCAAGGTACAACGAGGTACCACTTTGCTGACGTTAGGCCCAGAGCAGACTTGGCGGGAATGACCCCACTCTCGACCCCCGGGCCCGCACTTGATTTGCTGCCATCAGCTATTGGCAGCTTCTCATTGGCCCGCCTCGAATCAGCTCCAGCTGCCTCGGGCCAGTAACCGCTAAGGATCGTGACTGGAGGTGCAGCTCTGCAACCGCGCGACAATCACTGAAATTTCCAGGAGAGAAGAATTGAATATGGAGCCCAAGGAGTCGCCTCGCATTCAGAAACAGCTCTGAATCAAGGCTGTTGATGGAGAACAAGGTTTGGGGTTTGAAGAGCGCAATTTCGTTTTTTTCTACTCTTCACCGCCGTCGTCTCGTCTACTTCGTACCTCGCGTCAGGTAGGTACGATGGATGTATCCGGAGTGAAAGCTGCTGGGCTCAAGTCAACTGCCGGGCCTGGGTAAGACTTCGGAATTCCAGCCTCGAACCTTGGTGCACTAAAGATGCAGGACACTGAGGTTCACGAGTAGCCCATTTGGCTTTGGAAAAACAGGCCTTAGTCAGAGCACCATTCCCATAAGCGAAGGTGTCAGCTTGCAGCCCCGAAGCCTGTCCATTCGCACCCGTCGGGTGCAAAAGATCTGCCGTCAGCAAAATTGCCTTTCACCGGTGAATCCTCCACATGTTCGTCCATGCTACTCGCCAAAGTGACATCTCAGCTCGACGTCAAGCCTGTCAGCCGCCAGCCGCTACCACCACACTAGGCCGGGCCTCCGCGGCCACGACAAGGCCCTAAACCCCCATGTGTCTGTAGGGCTGAAGAACCTGAAGAATCTTGGGGGCGTCAGATTGCCAGATGGCCAGATTGCTTGCCCTCGTCACAGTGAGCTCCTGTCAAGCGCCCATCACCATTATGCAGACCCGTCCTCTATCCCGTGATAGGCGCCGCTGCAGAACGGACGCTAAGTAGCCGTCCTCCCGATCCCATCTCGCTTAGGCACCTGTCCCTCTTCGCACGTCTGCAACGGGCTCTTGAACTTCACACGTCTCCATCTTCATCTTACGTCTCTGCTACATCGGCCGTTGGATGGTATGTGGAAATGTAATCTTTCTATATGCATGTTGCTGTGGAATCAAACCAGACACGCTCTCAAATGCCCCATGCTTTGCCTGTATGTAAAATCTGCAGTGCAGCGATGCTCATTTCACCATGCGGCCAACCCTGGCTATGGTATGGTATGGTATCCTGTTGGCCCGCCCAATTGGCCCCTGTCCAGTCGCGTTGCCGGACTTCGCGCTGCAGCCGTTGACAATTCGTCCACCAGCGTCAAAGTTTTTTCCCCCCCTTCTTGCGGCGACGAAGCAACGGGCTGCAGCCTGCCGCGGCTATTGTCACGCATCCCCGAGGAATCCCGTGAGCCCCCCCGAGATCCTCTCCCATGGCCGTTCACAGCCTCCTCCTAAGAAGCAGCAGGCGCTCCTTATGCCTTCGGGTCGATGTCGGGGAAGAGGTGCTTGAGAAAGTTGCCTGTAAATCGCGTGCATTGCTCGTAGGCTTTTGTAAACCCCTCGTCGCCACCATAGTAAGGGTCCGACACGGTCTCTGGCCTCTGCTTTCCGGAGAACTCGCCAAACAGCATCACCTTCGCCCTAGAGTCCGAGTGGGCACGCTGCTGTAGCCTCTGGAGATCCTGGAGGTTTGATCTGTCCATGGCGAAGATGTAATCGAACTTGTCAAAGTCGGCGGGCGAGACCTATTGGTAATCATGGCGCAGTCAGCGGCTATCCGGTTTTCGCAAGCGCTATCGCATAGTAAAACGGACATACCTTGCGACTGGAGTGACGGTAATCCATGATTCCATTGTCCTCAAGTGTCATCATCGTGCGCTCGTCTGGAGGATCGCCAACATGGTACGCCGCTGTTCATTTCGTTCGTTCTTGTCAGCGGTGCTGTGCGGAAGTCGGGTTGTTTTTGTCATGACGTATGGCGCGTACCTGTACCGCAAGAATCCACCTTGGAGACGAGTCCCTTGTAAGGCGGCTTCTGGGTGATGTGGCGGAAGATGCCCTCAGCCATTGTTGAGCGGCAGATGTTGCCGAGGCAGACGAAGAGAACGGAGACCGGTTGATCCGGCATGATTGCGATGTGAGGCTGGTCTCGTCTTGTTGCGGTGTGTAGTTGTCGCGTTGTGGAAGAAGGCTGGCGGTTTGGCGTGTTGAGCCCGGACGGCTGCCCCGCGACGGCCGCTGCTAGGTCATTTGCAATGGAGGGGCATCTTTCTGCACCGTGAGCACCGTGGAAGACGAACGATCGGCGCACGGACTGACACTGTGGGGGGTCCTTCCCTGCACGTGAGCTGTCAAGCTGCTCCCCGTCTTCTCTCTGCTTCCACCAACCGCGCCAACCTCATTACAACAAACCTGGGAATTGGCATTTCAACCAAGGGACTGGGCCTTTGGATCGTGAGCGGTTCAATGGCGTCAATCTTCTACTGAAGTCACGTTCGGTTAAACCTTCATCCCACCCAGACTCGAAATGGCTTCGCTCGCGCCTCTGGCAAGCGCCTCTTGACCCTGCGACTGACTACTGCCCAACGTCAAGACTGACAACTGGCACTTTTGGCTCCATCGATGGCCCCTCCGTCAACGTGGATCACATCGGAGGCCTTGGCCTGAATTGGGTCTAACAACGAAGCGGAATGAATGTCGGAGAAAGCCTTCAAGCGTGCCACATTTATGAGGATGGGGAACCGCGATCCTGGATTTCGGCGGCGGCTTCTACACTAAAGAATCGCGATCTCAACGGGAGGTCTGGACCACGTATCGAGTACAATTGGAGAGGCGCATTGTCGTTACTTCCCATCGATCAAATTGCGGCCGCATGCAGCATTGGACGACAAAGAGTCGAGCAGATCATCTGGGGTCCCCTTGGCGTTCTTGTCCATCATATTACTCTCTCGAGATGAGAGCCGATGCATTCCGCACTTCAGTACAAACAGGATCCCGGCCCTGTCGGCGATGATGTGCCTGTTGATGAGTGTTATCTGTCGCTAGCGGCTGAATGCGCCGTTGTTGGCAACAACCTGCAGAACAGAGATGTTCACGATTTTGTTGCCAACAGACAGACGGGGCAAGACCGTGCCTGAGATAAGCTCGCCGAAGCGAAGCGAGGCCATTCAAGAAGCGGCCGGAGCCTTGAGACTAGTGGCGGCAGCTCGGATTCGGATCAACCCACGTGATAACGAATGTCTCGCGTTGGCCTTTCTCATTCGTTCACCTTGCCTCAGCATTCCGTTTGCGTTCTTGCCATGACATTCAGGGCAACCGGCGGGATTAGACTTGCACTGCGCCCGAAGCGGGTTGCTCTTAACGTCCCGCCCCGACAGGCTGGTTAAGGTGCCTCCCGTTGGCATGAGGACTCTTCGCAACTATCGTCAAAGCAGCAGTATAGTTTGCTTGGGGCACCCCATTCCTATCATGGCCCTGCTCGTTTCGGTTGACGGGCAATCCTAGTGCCTCGCCATCACGTTTCGAGGTGACCAGCATGCCACGCCTCGTGCAGTGTTCGGTGCCGGCTGGGCCAGACGCCTGAGGTGGATTGACATGTGTACCACAGCGTGACACGGCCATCCGCCTGCCGTTGAGACGGATACGATGGCAAAGTACCACTGATGCAACTCATCCACAATAGCGTGTGTTCTAGGCGAGTTGACGGATGGTGGCAGAGCGCTTGAGTCCACAAAACTGACCAAGAGGTTCAGCAAACCAATCTTCTAGGTCAACAGGCCAAGGGGGCTTGGTCCTGGCTGTGGCGGCA